AAACCTATAATATTAAATATATAAACTTATTTAATAACATACATAAAATATATAAAAAAATTATATAAGCAATTATCTTCATATCACTCGTAACAAAAATAACAATAATAATAACTCAAGAAATGCGGAGTACTAACCAACAACCATACAACTGCTGAAAAATTTCACTCCAGTTTTCTCTCCCAAGGTTTCCACGTTCTAGACTTTCTCCTCCATAACTGAACATACCTTCGTCAATCTTCTCCCACATAAACTTTGTCCACCTCAGATTCGAGGAATAACTATATCTAATTTATTAAATAAACTTTTTGAATTCTAATTTCATAAGTAATCTTATAGGGAAAAGGAAAATAAATATACTTTTCTTAATTAGATTTAATTATCTCATTTTATCTATTCATGACCGTTAAAAAATTTATTTATTACAAGAATTATGTTGGGGAATAGGCCCAACACCCACAACGGATTTGGTATAGTAGGCCCATATATATATATACAAGCTTCCAAAAATACTCCCAAATGTGGACCCACTAAGTCGGGATATGCTCATGTGGATGTTGACACTTGAGTTAATCGGGTATTGACACATGGCTCATTTTATTATTAATGGAGATTATAAATACTCTCATCTATCTTTATGTAAAGTATTAATTTCACTATACTTTTTTCTTTATAATTATTCTTTTTAAGAGCTTTTCACTCTAAGAATAAAATATTACTGACTGGGGTGTTGGAATGTCTTCCTAAGAAAACATCATTGGGTATTTCAAGTGTTAAGACAACTGAAGATCTATACAGTGAAAAGTTCGAGAAGCTGTCCAAACAAATTAGAACTTATTTTTTCATTTTTACCCTTATAATTAAATAAAAAAATTCCAACATATTTCTATCTCTTTCAAGATAAGAGCAAATTTGAAATATTAGTATTTAATATTCTATTAAAATAAAAAATGTGACAATTAAATCAAACTACTCTTATTTACAATGTGAAATAATCAAATCCTACTAGAGGGAGTAATACATTTTCGAATTATAATTTGATTAGCAAACTAATGAAAAAGAGAAAATACTATGTTTAGACAGAATCTTATCCAAACCTTAAAAGTAAGTTTTTACATTCAACCAACTCCATTACTACCAAATATTAATCTCTGATCTTGCCTTTGTCCGATGCTTACTAGCTATTGATCAACCTCTTTTACATGTCTCTAAAAGAAAAGGTTCCTACAAGTTTTCTACATCCTTCTTGTACTTCTTGCTACTTTTTCTTTGTTA